TAGAACAACCTCTGGAGCTGGTGAAATGCGTCCCAGCTGTGGGCTGTTGAATTCAGATGTCATTTCGGCCCTAGCAAAGCTTTCCTCCTTCACAGATGCAAATGGGTTTAGTCTTCAGAGTGCTTAATATTAAGCAACAGCCCTAAAAAGTGTGGGTTAGGTGCTGCATGAAGCCAAAAGTCCTCTCTTAGAGATGTTGTTGGACCTGTGCGACCTGCAAGCATCTGCCTGTGCTCTAGAAGCAACAGGAGGGAATCAGGAGGAGGCTGCAAAGCTGCTGTTGGAAAATAGGTCAAAACAAGCTGGTTTTGGGTACCCTAGGGGTATGAGCATAGGTACCTGGGCCCTTTAGATGTGCCAGCTTTGAGGCAGTGGGCTCAGGAATATTGCACCCCTCCAAGCAGCCTCAAGTCTCATCTCTTCCACATTCTCCTTTTGAGGCTTTGCTCTTCCCTCTCATTCCTTCTGCTCTTTTTCTCCTTCTCTTGGGCCAAACCCTTTTGCCAACATGCTTCCTGCTTGCAAATGAGAGCAAAAAGGAGGTTTGGGGGAGAGGAGCTATCATATGGACATTTCTGGGCCTCTGATAAAGGGATAGGGGGTGTTGGCAGCTCTGTCAAACCGCGGCTGATGGTTTTGTGATGTGGGCTGTGTAATGTCCCATCTGGGAGAGAGCCGAGTCCAAACTCACCCACTCACATATTTTCCAGAGATGTGTTACTGCACATATGTTCAGAGGACAGGAGAAACCTGTTAAAGAGATAACCTCACCGTATCCCAGTGCCGTGCTCCTCCGAGGGCTGCTCCGCTTGCAGGATCCTTACGCAGCTCTTAGCCCTGTGACCAGGGAGATGGCCAAATCTTGCCAGGAAAAGAGAAAGGAAAGTGCTCGCTGGCACCTGGCCTGCGTTAACACCATGTCAAAGCTAGAGATCAGCTGTGGAGAGAGAGCAGTGGGGTGACATGAGGGCTCCATGCAGGGTGCAGAAAGTGGGTCCCAGCAGCACGTTGTTAAGTGGGTGGCAATGCCAACCCATAGATGTTTGTGTGCTGGTTCTTGGCACAGAGGGATGGATCTTGCCCTCTTATATGGCATTTACAGGTTTTATACCCATATCCTTGATAAAAGAACATATGGGAAGGAAGAAATGCTGTAAGACAGTGAAGCAATGTTTTGAATAGGGGAAATGGTCTGTTGATGGGCTTAGTACAACAAGATTGAGGCTGAATAACAAACAAGCTACTAACTGTCTCTCAGAGCAGCATCCCTCAGGTCTGGACTGAAACTCCTTTGCCATAAAGGTTCTTCTGCAACCTCTTGATGACCCAGATGGTCTCTTCTGTCAGACTTCTTATGAGCTTTACAAGTTTAGGAGCTTTAAGATTTCTAAATTCAGGGCCAAAGCTTTAAGTAGACCCAAAATTTTCTTTTCAGAAAAGCTGGGTGTCCAGCAAGGCAGGGAAAATGCAGTGATGCTTCAGCATATGGATTGCAAAGGGTACTTTAACCTGCTTCTATGGGTAGTCGAGGTGGTGGCAACTGCCTTGTTCCTATCCAAGAGGTGTTACCCAGCATGTCCTTGATGAGGTACATGGGAATGGCTTGGCCCTTGCATGGCCTTAGGGAGGGGATGAAAGTGCTTGCTGCTGGATAGTCCAGATGGAGCTGGGAAACAAGGGCTTGGCAAGTGATTTTATCACCTCTACTCATCTCAGGGGCTGTCTGCCAGAGTGCTCAAAGGTCAGGGAATTAGAGATGGATGTTCGAGGAGTAGCATTTGCATCTCTCAACATCATTCCACTGTTGCTATGGAATGATGTTCCTGTTCATCTGCTTCATTTTACACCAAGGTAGAGTCTGAAGTTGTCAGTGACCTCTTCTTGAAGTGCCAGAGCTCTTCTGCACACATGCAATGAGATAAATCACTTGAACTAGCTGCATTGCAACTTACTCTCTCTCACACCTTGGCATCAGGAGGCTCCAGTCAAAAAGCCATTGTGGTGGAGTGTTCAACCTATGAGACATTGGCCGTGCATGACTTTTGTGTCTACAAGACTAGTGCTTTTATAGCCTCTTTGCTACAAACCATTAGAAGCCCCCCCCGTGCTCTTTCCTTGCATTGAATTGATGTTAAATCATCCTAAGCCGATCTTTGCAACAGATTCTGTGGAAGATTCAGGTAATGTAAAAAGCAGGAGGTTTCTTAGGCAAGAAGTGTGAATGCCATGGTTAGGACTAAGCTCCAAGCCACCACCTTGGCTAAAGTGCATATATATTCCTAAAGCTTTTTACATTACTTTGCTGTTGGGCTGAGAGCTCCCACTTTGCGTCCTGTCCACCCCTGCATTAACCCAAAGGCTTAGCAGCACCCCATCCACCTTTGCACAAGCATCCAAAAGGCTCACATCTCACCTCCTTGGTTTGCTTTGGAAATCTGTCAGTTTTTACTCTTTGGACCACCATTCCAAACATCCAGCCCCAGATATTCCTGGCTTGCTGGAAAAGGAGCAAAAGCACCCGTTAATAAAATGGATACAATGCTGCTTCAACAGCATCAGTACAAGTCAGCAGAGCATTTTCACATCCTGTGCTGCAGAGAGCAGGGACCCTCTGCAGAGGAAGGCAGTGTCCTTGGACGTGCAGATGTTCTGGGGCTCTCTGCTATGCTAATAGTGCATGAAAGCAGCTTATTAACATGCAGCGGGTAACTGCAAATCTGGGATTTGTTCACTTAGCTGCCTCTTAATACATAGATATCTGGTTTGCAAGTTTGCATAAGGCATTCTTTGCCTGCGCCTTGAATATGTGCAGAAATGTGCTCATGCAGGCTTTGATGTCTGCAATATTTAACATCATCTGTTTTCCAATCAACTTGTCTTCTAAGCTCAGGGCTTCATTCAGGGATGCTTCTGCCTGATGCCTACATTTCTTCTTCTGACTTTGTGCAACATCTGGGGTGTTTAACACGTGCTCAGAAGGGCGCACGCTATTAATTGGACATTAAGTGGTGGGCCATGTCTGAGGCCATTGCACATTGTATTAATTACTGAGTGGCTAATAACAACCTTCTGCCCCTGGTATTTATAGAATAATAAAATCTGTCCATGACACTGGCCTCACATCTGGGGAAACTGGCAAACACATTTTCATTTACCTCCCTTTCTCGAGCGTGCTAATAGCTTTCAGATTTCCAGGGGGACAACTGGAGACCTTAGAGTCTTATGAACACATTGGTAATGGCTCCGGAGTGAAGCATGAGCTGAGATTTACACTTCAAACAAGACTGAGCCCCGCTACTCCTCCCTTTGCCCACTGTGGCATCATGGCTTTAGGATAAAAAGGGACTCTGCTTTAAACCATAAAGGCTGATAAACAGAATTAGGGGTGGCTGCACAGAACTGTAAGGCTGATGTTGCTCTATGCTCTCTAAGGTAGGCTCTGAGGCAGGGGCTTAAGGATGCTGCTCTGCAAGAGGAAGGGAGCAAGGCCAGGGCAGGCTGCTGAGGGGTGGCATCTTGTCTGCTCCAAAGAACAGACTGGAGAAGGGCCTGTAGAGAAGAAACTCAATCTACCCCCTCCTGTTCTTGAAATTAGTTGTTGCAGATGTGGGTGATGTCCTTGAGTGTATTCATGGTTTGAGCAACTTTGAAACCTCACCTTAAAGCAACTGCTGAGGTGCTTCCCCCATGCCCAGCATGCTGCTTTCCTCCTGTCTTGTCTTCTGAAGGCTCTTAATATACCCCAAAGAAGTGAGCATTTCTGTGCTAGTGGCAGACTAAGGAGAATTGCTACAAGGTGGTGTCTTTAACTTAAATGTGTAGGGACCACTTACAGGAAGATAGGCACAATGTTATCAGGTCAAATACTACAAACTGGACCAGTTTTGTCCTAGGTTGATGCTATCATGCAGAAACCCCAAGGAAAAGGCAGTCTCAGGGCACTGCATCTCTTGCTGCAGTTTTCTGTTATAGTTGCATTCCTCCAGAGCAGTCTGAACTGCTGATCTCCAGGCCCAGGCTCCCAAATATCCTGAAAGCAACGGGACTGAGGACAGTGAGGCAGTTATAGGATATTTGTCTATACCTCTGACTTAGTTGGCCAAAGGGGTGCTCTTCTCTAAAGCTTTTGGGGAAAACGTGCTGTAGGATTCGGGTTTGTATTTGCCGGGGCAGTGAGGAATTGGTTAAGGATGGGGAGTTCATAAACAAGCAGTAAAACTCCTCATTACCCTGGAGATTGCTAATAATATCCAATCTGTCCAAGCTGCTCCTCGCACATCCCTGGGAGGATGCATCCTGCCGTCTTCCCCCCTCTCCTCCCTCAAACAACTGCTGTTCTCTGAGATAGAGCCCCAGTTTGTCTCCGTTACAGCCCCGCACAAGCTCACTAGCCATGAGGAAGTTATATCACCCTCCAGGAATGGCTTGGCGAATTGCTGAAGGTATGTGCCGCTTGTAATCATCTTTGGCCATGGGCCAGAGTCCCCCACTCTGCACTATCAAAGGCTCTCTGTCTCCCTGCCAGTTGGGAGGGCATGATGTCATGCAGGCACCAAAGCAGGAGCATTTCTATAATCCCCCCGTCTCCCAGTCAAAATCTGCCAGTTCCTAGCAAAAGGCTTCCCATGGCCATTCATAGGGTCTTATTATTGGAGAAGTGGCCAGAAATAGCCTCCATGTTGTTGCTTGTGAGCATGAAAGTCACCGAGATGGGGTAAGCCCTTACACTAAGCAAGATAAATGGGTCCCAGCGAGAGCCTGTAGCCCCTAGGTCTCACTGGGATGGCACGTGTTTCTGTTTTGCTTGAAGGCTTGAGTGATCACCTGGATGAAGGGGTGAAAAGCTGTACACTGCAAAGGATAGTGTCCACATTAAGTTAAAAAGCCTTCTGAAAATGTAGTGCAGTCCATCCAATGGTGCCAGAAGGCTGCATGATGACTTTTCTCCCTTGTGCCTGATGAGAACTTTGTTTTGGCTTGCCAGAAGCTTGAGCTTTAAGCCCTCTGAGGAAGACCGTGGTACACTGTACAAGGTGGCCAGCTTCTTCTCAGCCACTGGAATGATGGCTTTGGTGGGTAGTGAAACATCTTCTGGCCATCTCCAAGCATCCCTCACGTTTGTGCCCCATAGCCTGGTGAGTAGGCGAGATGAGGTTCCCATGGGGCATTGGGGAACACTTTACACCAACGCTGGTCCTTTGAGGCTTCTTGTCTAAAATCCCCCTTCATTTCATCCCGTCCCCAATGCTCTCCCCCCTCAACTTGTCACCACTTCTTCTGGCTCTCGAGACATCTGCTTTGCCCATGTCCTGTAGAAACGCTGAGGGGAGGGTGAGCTCGGTGAGAGAAATGTCATAGTTCTCACTGCCTTTAAACAGTAACTTCTGAAAACATCTGAAACAGACATAATTCTCCTTTTCAAGAGCCCTATCTGAGGCTCCCCAAATGCTTGGCTCTGGCTTCAAAGATGGTGTTTAGCTATAAATAAATAGCATTTCATTAAAAGGAAAAAAAAAAAGAGAAATTAGACAAAAAAATTCTACAAGCAGAAGCTTAACCAATGCCAGATAATGGGGCAATATGGGGTTTTATTTTTATCCACATCGGTCCATGTGCTCTTTATCTCCCACTGTAATTTATCCTTATAAATTAGGTTCATGATATTAAAAGAACATTATAGCCTTTACCTACCACAGAGAAAGGCGGTGGAGTTTCATCAAGTGCTTTGAGATCCTTAGATGAAAGGGACGACGACCTTGACCAAAGAGCCTCTTGCTAATAGTTAAATGCATGCAAGGCCTTTGCTGAGTAGGGAGAATACATTTAAAGATGAATCTTAATTGGTGCTTAATGGGCAGATTTGTAGCCATTAGGCTGATGCTGGGTAAGGACAGTCTATAGTTAATTCCAAAGTCTATCATGAAGCTGAGCGTTAACATCCCTTCCAGAATAACTTAACATCTGCTGGTGTGGTCTCCTTCTCCCTGTGCCTTAACAGCATGGTACCTTTGCCCAGTGATGAGCCTGGAAGCTTACTCCTACCCCAAAGTCTCACAAGGGTTGTCTAAACTGTACAAACCTTTCTCCACCTTCTTTTCTATCATTTCTTGTCTTGTTTACGTGATGCCCACCCAGGATCTTAACTCCATCCCTAAATGGAAGCTACAAATGAGCACCAAACCTGACTCTGTCCCTTGAACTTCCCTTCTGGGAGTCTGGGGCTGCATTTCCTTCCTGTTCAAGGGGTTTCTTCACTCACTATCTGCTTTTGTGGATATGGCACCAGCAGCATTTGGTTTTTCTGCTCCACGCATAAGCTGAATTTGCTGCTTTTTTATCTGAGGCTGGATTTCCTTTATCTTTAACATTCCCCAAGATCTATGATGCAAAAGAGTACTTGTTTCTGACTACAGACACATTAGTTTGGTATTTTCCCTTCTCAGTTGCCTTTCTGACGCCTTTGTCCAAGACGCACCTCTGACTCTTTAACTTTATCCATTAACACTGAGAATTCAGACTCAAATACAAAATGGATATGTCATGGATGGATTTATACTGCTTGATCCTACCCTGCTGCTTAACCCTACCCTGGTGCTTAACCCTATTGATTTCAATAGTAGAGCTGCACACCTTTTGCTAGGATTACTCACACCTTTTCCATGACACTGTACAAGTCAAGGAGGCAGGAGACCCCACGCTTTACCCTTTCCATCTGGAGATAGCTGGCTTATTACTGCATGGTGCCCTGTGAGCCTCCTGTTTCCAGCTCAGCCTCTGATCTCTTCCAAACCTAGGGAAGCGCTGGGGGTTTTAACCCTGTCCAGATGCCCATGTGAAACACATCCACCACTTTCTCCTGTGTTGGCTCCTGAGGAAAGACTTAAGTAGCTCTTAACTGCAAACACAGCTTGGGCTATTAATATCCGAACCACAGAGAGGTGAGTGATGTTCTAGAAGACAGGCTCTTTGCAAACCTGCCCATCAGCAGCACATGCACTTGCTGCCTAAAATAGATGCCCTCTTTACCTTTCTGACTCTTATTGCCCAAACTTTAGCTCATTGTGGTACTGGAAAGACTAAGTATGGACTCTGCGGTGTGGCGCTCGAAGTAGTATCAGATGCTGCTTGAAAGAAGAGCCCCAGAGGAAGAGCATCGCTAGACAGTGGGGATTTCCAGTGACTCATATCTGGTAGCAGAAATGCTTTAAGATGTTGAGGAAAAGGGAGCTGAAGTTTTTACCTGCAGCCACCTGCTTATCAGATGTGCCTTGCAGGATAGGGTTTTTTGGGTTTTCTCTGAATAGAAGTGCTTTTTCTTCAAGTACACCGCAGACGTGGCTGTAAAACCCCCGGGAGCTGGTAATATGCCTGGCCAAAAGTGACTCTTGATGCCAAAAAAGCTAAGAGCTTTCCCCCTCCATAACCCTTTGCCTCCTGCGGTACCCCAAAGGAGAAACAATGGGCACAGAAATGCGTTCCCTCCTCTGCACAGCAAGCATTTTTCACCTTCTCTTAACCCCCTTGAGTCTTCTGTTCAACGAAGTAACCATGTTTTCTTTACCAGAAAAATACAGTTCTCTCCATTTAATTTAATTAGAGCTGCCTTTGACCATGGCCTTCAGACCTGGAAGATGAGTGCCACATGCTGTGTGTTGCTCCTAACCCCAGCAGCTCCTCTGTCTCCTCGGGGATTCTGTGCAGGACAGACACAAGATTAGTGCCTGAGAATGTTTCGTCCAGCCTGAGCGCACGGAGATAAGAGATAAAATACGTCTGCCTTGGGTATGTGCCTGCTTTCCTTCTTTGACAGCTGGGGTTTGCTGCGCAGCAGTCTGCCAGCGCCACCTCATGGTCCATGGTCCGCTGGCCATGCGCATCGCACCACCACGGGCATCTCCATCCTGCCGCCATGGGTATCCCAATCCTGCCACCATGGGCATCCCAGTCCCACTGCCACAGGCATTTGTATCCCGTCACCATGAGCATCCTACTACAGCACAGATGCTATTCCCACCTCCCTCCTCAGTGTGGTTTCCCTGGAGGGTTCAGGCTCAGGGTATGATAATATACCTGAGGTCTGCAAAGCATTAAAGCATATTGTCAGATATATGAGCTCATGGGGGAAGCAGGCCAGACACATTTGTTACTGGGAGAGAAACTACTTCTTGCCCTGACCCACGTCTAACTTGCTTTGTCTTTATTGTTATCTATCAACACCTTCCTTACTCATTTGGAATAGTTACTTAGTTCCTGTCCTTGATCACCTTCTCCCCTGTATCCTCAGCAGCTGCTGTAGGACCTGGCATATCAGGGAGAAAGGGAAATCTTTCTCAAAAGAGTCTGTTCTCTCTCTTTATTCCACATTAAGAAGTAACAGCTATTTCCAGGTAAATCAATTCACCTTGTCATCGGTGGAGATTCGGGCAAAAACTGAAGACCTCTCTGGTTTTAATTGTTTCTTTGAAGGAAAATACCTTATGAAAATTGAGGTCAGGCTTCTGTAGGAAACCAGAAGGGTCTCAGTGCAGTGAAGTTCTGCCTGGTTTCATTTGAAATATGGGTAGAGCTATTTTTCTGCACAGTTGCTGTGGTTCAGAGACCTCAAAAGACATCCAAGTTTGGTCTCTTGCTGGCATCTAATCCATGAGTTTGTGAAGCTTTTCCTCCCCACTGGGTGATGTTCACATCAGATGCTCTGTTGAGTTCCCATAGACAAAATGTTGGATCCCACAAAATACTTGAAAAGTAAAGGAGATGCTCGCACCTCTGGGACTGCGGCAATGGCCAGATATGGAGAAGGATGCAAACCTCTTGGAGTGAGAGTTTCATGCCTGTAAAGCTATGGAGAAAACTAACAAGAAAGCAAAGAAAAAAACTCCTACCATTTTCATCCATGAAATGAAGGAAATGCAGTCAGACAACAACAGACATCAGCTCAGGGATATAAAGTTATCACAAAGATGGCTGTGGGAATTGGTTAATTGCTCAGATTTAAGTCACTCCTGTCCTTTTGGAGATGTCATTTCTTCCTTACTCTTTTCCCCTCCTTCATTCCTGCCTGCTGCATTTCTCTTTTCTAATTTTAAGGGGGACTGAGCACAGCGAAGGGAGGAAAGGGGCAAAGGCGGAAAGCTATTGGGGGTGCAAAGGTTAATCTTCTAATGAATTTGGCTAATGGGAAAGACACATTGGAGGAGATTGCTCGATGGCAATTTAAAGGCAATTTCAAAAGCCAATTAAAGCTTTTTCCAACTCTTTCACCCGTGACTCTTTTAAATGCTTTTCCGAACTTTGCTTGCTAGAATTTGGCTTTCATGGCAGGAAAATGGACTAAAACCAGAGAGACTGCCCAGAAAATGAGGCTGTGTTCACCAATGCAATGTGTGTTTTGACATTGGTTTTTGCAGCAACTCATCCCCCACCTGGGGCCTTGACAAGATAACCCAATATATAAAGTTTTCAGAAAATAACAATAAAGACCAAAGAAGATCCTTCTTGCTTCATAGCTATCTCTTCCCTTCCTTGTTGGGACCCAAAGAATGGGATTATCTCTGCATGTACTGAAGGATGCACAAGAAGTCAGCTAGCTCATGGCTCTTCAAGTTGTCTAAGCTGCCACTGAAGTAACTTTCATCCAGACCTGGGGACCTCACAGAACACATGGAGAATGTGGTAAGAAAGCTTTCCCTGTGTGCATTCGGGAATAGCAGCTGAGTCTTTGGTGTCTTTGCCTCCATAGGACAGGTGATGACTCTACCAGCTTGTGCAAAGCTTCAGCCAATCCGTGTCCTGGTTATAGAAGTTACAAAACTCTCAGAAATTATTCAAATCCCCCAAATACCTGCTGAGTTGGGGTTTTGAGGACTTATACTTTAGTCTTTGGGCTAGGAGAGCTGGGAAATTAGCCATAAAACACACCCACGTGTGTGCACACCATGAATTCATTAAGTGAGATATATATATACCTCACATCTGTGTGTGTAATGTCTGGTTCCTGTGGTTGCAACTGCCCCTGAAGGGAGATGCTACTTACCACCATCCTCAAAAATAGACCACCTCTTTGCACACTTGAGAAGATGCAGGAACCATCTGCCTGCAGCCTGTGATGGCGCAGCAGTGAAGCAAGGGTAGATCCAAATAAAAATGAAGTTCAGAGATGCTAAATGGGTTCACTGGTGCCAAAAATCCACCTGTTCAGGCAAATGACCCTGAGCAGCCTCCCACAGCACCCAGAGAGTCACTGTGGGCTATGCTAGCTCCCTGCCTCTGTGCTCTCCAAGTGGCTTCTTGGTTTCAAAAGAAGGTTACGGCTTTACATGACCATTTAGTTTAAGATACATCTGACCTCAGGATAGGAATCAGCATAGTCTGCAATGAAAAGAATTACAGCTTTCCAGGGATTTCAACTCTTCTTTAAAGAGATAATGCTTGCCAAAATGATCCTCTTGCAGATAGCGAAGTCCTGTGCAAAGCACGCATTTGGTGCTGAAGTGTTTTTGGTAAACCAGGGATTTGAAAGCCTGTGCACTCTTTCATTCTTTCTTCTTGGAAAGAGGAACGGATCCAAACATGAGCAATGGAGCAGCTGCCTTTAATAGTTATGACAGTTAATGTCGTAACTGCCATCTGAGTTAAAGAATACTGAGAGCCTGCAGACAGAAATGAAGGCAAAAGAGTTCACAGTAGAGACCCACGCTTGCATAAAGTAATACCTGAGGTCAGTGGTGAAATCCTGCAGGGCTGAAATGCTCTGACTTAGCTCCCAGGAGATGCTAGCATTAAACGTGAAAATATAAGACGATCAACAAGGTGCAGAAACCTGAGAATGGAGGGAGCATCTCACAAGGAATGAAGCAAAGGTTAAAAGCAAAGAGTGAGGGTTCATTTCAGGATGTTCCATAGCAGTACATTGCATTTTGCTTTTCCAAACCTGCAGGATTTTGGAAGCAAGGACCTGGGACCATCACGCTTTTGGATGATCTTGTATTTTTTTCTGGAGCTGTCTCTGGATGGCACCTCATGGTTTGCTGAACTGAGATATAGGGGGCTCTGCTTTCTCATGATCTCAGCTGCTTAGCTCATAACTGGGAGAATCCTCTTGAATACAGACTAACAAAAAGCTGTTTGAAACCAGTTGGAGAAACAGTCCCTTGTGTTACAAAATCAGCTTTTTCTCCCAAACCTCTACTTCAGCCTATTTTTAATGTGCAATGGCACATACCATTGCCTTTATATTTTCCCAGTCCCAAAGATGATGTGTATGGATGGGGGCAGGTTCAAAAAGTGAAAGAAAGAGATTGTGAAAGGAAAAGAAAACCGAAGAAGAGAGGAGGACCTCAGCACTGACCTGAAGCACGTAGCTAACCCTTTCTTTGCTTTAATTAGCTCAAGCGTAGGTGTATTCCAGGGAGATATTCAGATCCTTAATTAAGAGTAATGATGTAAAAGGAAGTGCAGGCATAGTGAAAATGGATCAGAAAAGCATTAATTGACTAATATGGGTGTTTAGAGCACAGACTTTAAGCTATTTCTGTTCTTCCTCAGGTTGGAGTGAAGCCAGAGCAACTCAACAGGCCATGCATGGGGAAGGGAGCAGATGGCCTTGTTGCATCCAGTACCTCCAGTACTGAAGTCACTGGACTGGTCTCATTCCCTGGTCATTTTCCCATGTGGATTCAGTTCAGCCTCTAGTCTTCAGACCCTCCAGCTAGCGCAGGTAGGACAAAAAGTTTACTTCCTACAGAAAACCATGACTCTGCCCTCAGAAAGGCTGGAAAGCCCAAGCCTGGGACAATTCAGCAGCCACAGGTTGAGGTGCCTCAGCGAGGGACGCACACAGGAATAAACACTGGAGAATCACTGTTCCTAAAATGATCCTTCATTTGTTGGCTGCTGGTCGCAACCACTGACCTCAGAGCATTAATAATCCTGAAAGGCTCTGGAGGCTTTTTGGCATGTGCATTTTAATGTAATAAGCTTTGGCATCTGAAATGTTTTTTCCCTTCTTGGCTTCTCCTTTGGGCTTGGAAACAACAGGGTCAGCTCAGTCTTCGAGCAAAAGGATGAAGACAACCCTCACTTTAATGCACAGAATTATATCATCAGTGGCCAGAGGTCACATCCTGCTGTCTTTATAAAGATAACTCCAGCCCCCTCTCTTTTTCCCCAGTCTTTTATAAACCTGGCTCAACCCATACCCCATAGCAGCAGGACTACACAGAGCAACATCTTGGATTAGTTACGAGCTTTTCAGATGCGCTCCAACTCATATTTCATATCATTCCCCCCCCCCCAGCCATAAGATCTGAGTTTGTCACATTTACTGGAGACTGAAGTACAAACATGTTTTATTCATTATCTGTCCTCTTCTTCGCAACAAGCACCTGCAAAACATTTCAGCTCTAGACCGGATCAACAAGGCTTCATTAGGCAAGACACTTTCTCCCTGGCTTGGATGATGAAGCTACGCTTTATCCTTGCACTTCTAGCCTGTAAAATTGCCCAGAGATCATCACCTTAGAAGAAGGCAGACACCCAAGGCCTCGTGACTGAGGTGGAGAAAAAGAGGTTGAGGTAATTACACAGCCCTGATTGCTGTGAGCTGGGGGACATGGAGCTATTTCAGCCTTGTTGCACCACAGCTCTGCTTTATCAGCAGCAGAATGGAGGATCCCAGCTTTTGCACAGTCTCAGACAGGGAGTTTGCAAGCCCTTGGGAGCAGCCTCTATTTTTATCTCTATTTTAATCAGTGGTCAATATTGGAGAAGTTATTCACACTCTCTTTGCCCACTGCAGCCCCATCCTTTCCTTTTTGCCAGCTCTTCCCTCTTGGTTGATGAATATTTATTAGATGCAAAACAGAAAAACTTCACCAAGAGAGGCAAAGAAGCTCTTTTCCCTGCAAAATCCAGCAGCTTGGGGTAAGCCTTGGAAATAGGGGAGGAACAAGTCCCTCCCCAGAACTAGGCACAGCTGAGGTTTAAGTGCTGCTTGTCAAGCTTAAATAATTAAGAAAAGCATTTGTGAATGGTTTCCAGTCCCACAATATCTTGAGTAGAGTGAGCTCCTTGGACCACAAGCATCACACCTCTGCTTTTCAGCTAGGGATGCCTATTGCTGTGCAATTAAAAGATACTGCCAATAAAGCAATATATTCTGATGAGCTAATGGCCTACTGCTGTTTGAGAGGGGCCAGGGAGATGCTAAATCTGGTTTCCAAAGCTCTTTGTATTTAACATTACAACAGTTACTGGTTAAAGTGATCAAACAAAACAGCAGGTAAAGACATCTCTGCCCCATGTTGGTTAGTGACAGAGCAATGGCATGTGTTTATTCAGTGCTAAATACAGAATTGAGCTCTGAGATACCAGAATTTCACATTCTAGAGAGGGTAAAAGCATTAAATAATTAAATCTGCTGTATTTCAGACCCAAAGGCCTTTAGCTAGGTAATGGGGCATAGCTGAGGTGCAAGGGCCAGGCTGCAGCCTCCCCATCTCAAGGGCTACTGCTTCATTTTCAAGGTATGGATTAAAGGGGAGGAAACTGTTGAATAATCTCTTTGAAAAATGCTGCCATATTTGTGACATCAATTATACAGCATCCGGGTGCAACCACCTCTGGATAGAAGATGCTGCTGATGCAAAACACCCTTTTCTGTGCAGTTTCAGAGCAGGAAAAGCTTGTCTCAGGGAAAAAAAACACAACTCACAAACCAACCAAGCCCATCACTTTGGCATTGTCAAAAGTGCCTTAATGTTTTTCCTAACACTGCCAGGAAAAATCATTGGTCAGATCCTGGCTGAGGAAAGCGGGGCAGAGATTTATCCGTGCTCTGGCGCAGAGGGTAGCCAAAAGCCTCTCTGCTTTGGGCAGCCATCACCCTGATTTCCAAATCCAATGGGCAGAGAAGGACAACAGAAAGAACAGGACCATCCCCTTTGTGTGGCCCTTGAGCCAGTGCAGCATAGCTGAAAATGGGCAAAATTTCATGCCACTGAGGAGGGCAAACAGCCTTTCATCCTTTGCCTGCCTACCTCATCACGAGCCTGCCTGCACACAACTGGCTTTTTAATTGCACAGCTCCGAATGGTCTTTTGCCAGGTTAAATATCAGCCCAGCAGCCTAACCTCTGATTAGATGTGTCCCTGGAGGCACGGCTGAAGTTTGCTTTTAACCCCTCATTCCTCCCTGCCCTTCCCTCTGCATCCCTTGGCGAGGCCTCCCTACCCTTTCCTGTTATTGTCCTGCCTGCCTCTGATAAGATTAAATACGTGCCCTTCAAAAAAAAAGGCCTTTTTTTTCTTCCCTCCTCATACCTTATTGTTCTTCAAAGGGATGGGGAAGACAAAATCCTGCTCCTAACTCCTGCTAAGAAAAGCCCGTGATCTATGAGGCTGAATAAATAACCCCGAGTCCCTGCAGTGCGTGAGAGCAGCGTTCACCTCCCTAATTGAAACGTGGTGACAGAGACACTCTGGGTTTTGCTTTTTTATTTTAGTGCCAGGATTCTGAGGGACCTTTTCTTTATTATTTCCATTTTTGATTTCTTTTTTCATATTTTTTCTTCGATTTTTCTTCCTATTTTTTCTTTCTTTTTCCTATTTTTCTATTATTTCTAATTTTTCTTTCTATTCTTTCTATTGTCTTTATCTTCCCATTTTTTCTTTTTATTCTTTTTCTTTCTATTTTTTCTTCCTTTTTAATTTTTTATGTTTCTGTTTTTTCTTTCCATTTTTTATTTCTATTTTTTTTCTTTCCATTTTTTCCCTTCCATTTTTCCCCTTCTATTTTTCTCCCCTCTCTATGAAAGGTGAACCAACACGCCACAGGCTGCCTGCCAACTATTTGCCCTACGAGACCCTTTGATTCTGACAACGCCAAAGGTTTATGACAGCTTGGGGGGGGGGGGGGTGTGATTATAGATGCATTATGCTTTTTGCTCAAAGCTGTATCTGGAGAACACAAACCTACAGCAAAAATATGGAGATGCTTTGCATTTTCAATAAAACATCCCTGACAGGGCTCGCTGGAAGAGGGGAGAGAAAAAAGAACTCCGATGAGCCCCAGGTGACCGAAAGGGATGAGAACTCACTTTGGTTTAATATAAGGTTAATGGTGAAGCACAGTTTTGTCTGCCAAGGCTTTGAGACCACTGCACAGGAAGGGACTGCTTGGGTGGAGGAATGAGTTTATTCATGGGGCTGTCTCCCACTGGCTTTGGTTGAGATGATGGCATGTTTTACTTGGCTGTACCAACTAAAGTAAGTGCATTTACATAGATATATATATATTGAAGAAAATAGGGTTTTCATAGTAAAAAGAGGAGGCAGGTGCAGGTTGGGGTCTGGCAGATGTTATATCCCCATTCTGCAGTTGGATCTCCTGTGTCCTGCTGCGATCCTGGGAGAAAATCTAACATTGACACACCACAGGAACCCCCAAGTCTGTCTAGTGAGTGTTTCTTCTCTTTGTGATACCTTCCATGCAGGCAGGGAGTGGCACTGGAAACTTTTTATTCCCAAAGCCTGGAGTCGAGGTGTGGGAGCCAAAATATGTTCTGAAGCCAAGGGTATGGTGTGCCAAGGGACAGATCTGCCCATGCTGTCAATTGGCACTGTCACCATCAGAAGGTCCGAGCATCCTCAGGTGGCCTTCAGGAAAGGGGTCAGGGTCCAGCCATGCCATTTCCCCCAGATTGCTACCCCAGAATGCCTGGACTCCCCATGGATGGCAATGGGAGCAGGGTGGGAAAATATTCCTCTGTTATGTTATCATTGAGCTGATGAGCTAAAAACCTCCTTTTCATTCCTAGTTTTGGCGCCGGCATTGACTCCAGCAGTTCAAGGGACAGAGAAGCCAGTTTGGCCTCATCCTGCCTCTCTGTTTGGGCAGCATCTCAAAAATCTCAGCTGAGGCTTGACCACTGTTGCAGTCCTTGATGGGTCCTGCTGGTTTCTGCAGGGGTGTTGGAGCATTCCCACCTTTTTCGCCCTCGGATGGCAGGTAATAATTTATCCCCAGATGATGGCTTGCAGAATAAACCTTAAGGCACCCCTCTCTGAAGAGACACCCCAGCAATCCCTGCTATAAACCCATTGGAAATGACAATTACTGCCCCATAGCATTTATTGCAGCCCTGCATTAGGGAAAGAGACGAAGACCCAAACCATCCAAGCTGTGTTTTATGGAGCAAAATGATACTTTTTTCTCTTTAAAATCACCGAACCATTTCGAATCATGATGATATTTATGGCTGCTCGTGCTGTGTCCAGTCTCCTATAAGAAGCACGTATGAAAGCATCTCCTGAGGGAAATCACATCCTCTACCCTCCAAATCTTCCTTTCCTGAGACTGGAAAACGTCTGCCTTCTCCAATACCTGCCCAAATCACCGTGAACTTTACAACAAGGGAAATTTCCTTTCTCTCAAGACAAAGGGTACAACCTCCTCCTCTTGCTGCTGCATTAAAATACCCCCGCTCCCCAATTAACCCATCTCTCCCCCAGCCCCTAGGTAAAAACCCAACATGTAATACTCCCCAGAGCATGTCCATGGCTTGACAGCCTTCAATAGGTTAATTTTTCAAAGCCGTAAGCTGATATTTCTGCATAAAATGCACATCTGCAGGGTAAATGCTATTAAGTGTCGGTGAATTATGGTCCCAGAGTTCGGATCACTTGAGCCTTAATGCTACAAGCACCTTAATGTTTTTTTGAATGAAGTTGCTGCTAATTGCTTCCATATGATGTCTTTCCCCCTTTTTTTCCCTTATATCCCTAAGGTTTTTGTTCTACCATGTACAATGCTACAAAAAACAAGCATGCAGGGAAATTACACTTTATTTAAGGCGGATTCATGCCCATTTGTGGGTCTTTAGGCTTTTTTGGTGCCTTTTGGTGCAGTTCTACTCAGTGCAGGACTCCAAGATGGGGTTTTCCCCCTCAAGTTAATGCCATGCTCCCCATCTGCATCTGCAGATCTTGGTTTGATGATCTTTTGATCTCCATCTGCATCTGCAACCTTATCTGAATTGTTTCTTCCTCCAAGCATATTGCATGTAGCTGAGGCTACTGGAAGCAAAACTTCCCCTGTGAGCAAATGGGAGTAATAAAAATGGCTTTTGGGGAGCAAAGCTCATAGATCTGAGATAGGAAAGGAGGATGCAGACCCCTGGAGAATTTGCAGCAGTTTCTGTTCCACAGAGGTGTCTCCAAACCTGCAATGACAGCTGTATGGGTGATGGCAGGAGCAGGGTGCTGAGCACTGGTATTTCCTCTCTCAGTATTCAATCGGAGCAAAACCCCTGGGAAATCATACCCAGCACTGCACCTTGGCAGCCCTAAAACCATTTGAGCATCAAACCATGTCCCACCAAAGGGATACTTTGGCATTCAGGGTGTCATCTGTCCAGCAAGGAGAACCTTGATTCCACTTTTCTGCCTTTTCAAACAGCAGAAAATGAATGAAACCTACCAAAAAAAACAACCTTTCTGAATGGCTTTTTCATTCCTGGGGGAGCAGGAGAGAGGATTGGTGCTGGTCCTTACAGCTTTCCCCTGCAAAGGCGGAGGGAAGTGCTGCACTGGAGGTTGCTCTTGGGAAATCCATGCACTACGCACTTAAAGCCAGTTGTAACATGGGGATATTGGCTTGAAAAGAGAAGGAAAAAGGGCTTTTTTAGGGAAAACATGCCTTGTTAAGGTCCGACTTCAAACGCCCCGCACAGCTCCGGTGGGAAGGCAGGAGGGCAACGGGATGCAAAGCAGAGCTTTGACATAAAGCAGAAGGTGCTGGGTGATGGGAGCTCTTGATTTACAGCCTGTATTTTTTACAGCCAGGTCTCGGGGGTTTACAGTAAAGCCCCAAAGCAGCCAAATTAATTAGTATAACGAAAAGCCCACAGCCTGCTGGAGGCTGTTGCTATACATCAGCCCTTTAATTAAAGCCT